TTTCAGGCAATTCTTGGCGGTAAGGTTCAGGTACCAACTTTGTCTGGGAAGGCACAAGTACAAGTAAGATGTTGGCTTTGTTCTAGTCTTTTTTGTTACTTTGCATATGGCATGTTCTTCGCTTCTTGTGTCTATTGTAAGGAGAAAAAATTGTTGAATTTCTTGTACACTTTCCTATTCACCATATGGCCAGATTTGCTTCATATTCGAGTCTGTTAGATTTTGTCTACGCTCATTTTTTTGGCCAACTATTCCTTCATGTAATCTCAGATACCTAAGGGAGTTCAGCCTGGACAGCTTCTGGTACTAAGAGGCAAAGGTTCTGAGAACTTTGATTCCGTGCTTGAAAGCTTGCTACTTTTTTTTCCCTCCACTATGCTTAACCTTTACATTTTTGCAGGACTACCAAAGCATGGCCTTATTTTTAACCATGGAGATCAATACGTGCGGTTCAGAATAAACTTTCCCACGTAAGTTCAATAAAATGTGTTTCGTTCACAGTTCTATTTTATCATCTCAACTTTTACATTGTCCACAAATTTCCACTGTTTACACCATTTCTATTTGTTTTATCCCATCATCAGCGAATTAAATGAACGGCAACGTGAAATTTTAGAGGAACTTGCAAAGGAGGAAATAAATCATGGAGACAACAGCCCGAGTCAAGAAAATTGGTGAGGTTTTATTTGCCTTATGGTATGCTTGTTGCTGATGCTTGCTTCAATGTTTAATATCTCTAAGAAACTATTTAAACAATGCCACTTTTACTGTAGGGTTGCATACGGTTATTTGATGCTTAGCTTTTTATTGTTTGAATCCTTTATGGTGTGGCTTGGTATAAAAGAAAAACATGCATGCACTTTTTTATCCGTTTCCAGTAGGGGTGTTCACATATTAGAATCCTAACAAATCCTTAACTATGATATTGGAAAAGTCCCAATCCTTGCCCAATCTCAAACTTTTCCAATCCAAGATCTATCGGATTTTGCATATTAGATTCACGGATTCCACGGATTACAACCTTTAAAGTTAATAAGTATATTACACATTCATACAAAATGAAACACAAAATGTATTCATCATTTATTAATATTCCTTTAAAGTTCAAAGTTTGCAACATTCATAAACCAAATAAATATAGCATAACATAAAATAGTTCAACAAATTCTAAATTGTGACAACCCAGTTAAACAAACTAGATTCAGTAAGAATCAAAGTGAAATTAAAATTTAACTTAAAGAAACTATATATGAATATATACAACATGTTTCGAAAAATATATATGTATATATATAATATGTTTTGAATTCACGGATTTTGCGGATTGAGAAATGCTCCGTAAGCCAATTCAAAACCTATGGATTGAGATTTTTCCAATGCGGGACCAATCCAAAACCCCTCTCAATTTAATCCAAATCTGGTGGCGAGGACTCGGCACATTTATGTACAAGCCAATTCTATGAACACCCTTTTTTCCAGCTTGTTTGGCACCATTTTAAAAAAAATATTTTTGGGAACTAAAAATGTCAAGTTTCCAGGAAACATGCTTGGTAAACTTATTTTTGTTTCTTTTTCAAAATTTTTATTTTTAAAGAATAATCTAGAAATAATCACCAGCTTAGCAGACTCAAGCACGAACTATTAATCATCATTTATGAAATTTGTAGCTTAGATAAACCTGGCCATTTCCCTAAGCGTTTTGGATAATGAGCAATGGCATCTAGCACTTTGCTTCATCTGTAGAACTAGTTGCTGCTGAATCTTTTCCGAGAATTTGTTGCTGCTGAATCTTTTTGATTGCATGTCCATTCGGTCATTTGGTTTCTCCTGATTGTAATGAAGATCTTTAACTGGGTAACAGGCTTTATCAGCAGCTATGTACTGGTTGAACTTACAGGTTGCAGAAAATTTTTGAACGTTTTACGGATTCAAAGCTTGTGCTTGAACTATCTATCTTCATGTTGATTCTTTTCTTTCTGAGCAAAAGCTTGGCCTGAACGCTGGCTGAAGGCAATCTTGATAGAGTTCTTGGGGGAATGGTCAATGATAGGAAACGATTGCTTCATTCGTCATCTTTTGTAGTTCCAGTGACACAAGGTATCAATTCTCTTTCACAACCATCACTATTCACCCTTCTCTTTCTTTCAATTCACTGCCAGGAATTTATTTATGCCATAGAAATGATTATGTTTGGTTTTTAGCGTAGTGCTTTCTATACCTATTCTTTGAGGAGCCTCTATGGTAAGGTGGTATGCTCCAATGTTTTGCTCCAAGTTAAGACAGTAGAATGTATATTGATAGCATAGTTATGATCTACAGGGCCCTGTTTCTCAGTGCTTCTATAGTTGTATTTGAGAGGTCAAAGGAGCAATAATGCTGAAATTTATGGTGACTTGATAATTGTAAGGTCAAAGGAGCAATAATGCTGTATTTTGGGGCAATTTTATTTGACGCCCCCTCTTCTTCTTTAAAAAAAAAAAAAAAAAAAAAAAAAAAACACTTGGGAAGCTTAAAGAATTCCATGGCAACCGTTTCCCCAGTGCTGTTTTTAGGCTCGAAATGCAGGCAAATGTAAATAAAAGATTATTCACCCAAAAAAACTTGCCATAAGATTTCTCTTATTCGAGGTGCATTCAACAATAAAACTATTTGGTCGCTTAATTTCCTCCACCTGCTTTTCGTTGCATACGGTTAACTGTTCCAAATATATTTGCCGTATTTGTATATGACCGTTTGGTCACCAGTTGGTTGAACATTGCGCTTGGCACATTATGTACTAGCCGATTTTATTTATATTGTCTGTTCCAAAACACCATACCATCCTAATTCTGGTTGGTAGGTAAAATTATTTGTGAACGATTGTAAGTGAAATTTTTGAACCGGTTGGTTCATTGGTTCAAATAGAAAAGTTTAAACAGAAATTTAAATTTTGTGAGAGAATATTGTAGCAAACACATGCTTTTCATGTGAGATTTCTTCACTTTTAATACTGCCAAACTGAATTCGGCTCGAAGGTTGTTGGGCTATTTGCGAATGACAATTACTGAATGCTGTATTTTGTAACTTGCATGGTGGCGCAAGCATGGAAAGTTGCAGCCTTGTAGGTATAACCTCCTCTAAAGAATTGGAATATAGGCTTAGCAAGGTATATAGTAGTAATTTTCTTAGCGGGAAAAGGAGGGAAAAAAAACAAATTTTCTTTGGTGGTTCTTTGCTTTTAACCTTCATATTTCGATCATAAATCATTTTTTATGTATATTTTTTTAATTTAATATGATTTTAATCAGATTTAACTGTTAAAAATAAAAATTATCGGCAGGAGACTATAGTAAGATCTAAACAAATAATAAAAATAAACCGACTTCGTGTAAACACATTACTGTTCTAGTTATAAAAAAAAAAAAAAAAGATTACTGTTGTACAATATTCATATACACACATTGCCTTTTCCTTCTTTTTTGATAAGATCTTTTTATGAGTACGGGAGCATGTAGCTTCAACACAGCTCATAATTATTTTCAGGAAATAAAAAGAGAGGGAACATATGGCTCTCCTCTCAAACGTATTATGCAAATAAAAACCAGGGGTCTAACTATTAACTTTTTCTCTATTTTTTAAAATGAAAAAGAGACAAATACCCTTAAAATGTATAGATATGAATTTTTATTTTTTTTTAGTTAAATAACTATTTTAATTAAAAGAGTAATAATTAAGAGTAAGATAAAAATTTAAATTTAAACTCATGCACTCTAAGGGTATTTTCTCTTATTTTGAAAATAAATAGAATTAAACACACTAATAGATACGAAATTTGTACTTTACCTTTCTTTCACACTTGTACGACAGCCCACTAATTATTGATGGGAGAAATTACAAAATACCTTCAACTTTGTTCTCATGGATTAAGAATCTCTCTTTCTGTTTTTGGAGTATTCTGAATTTGAGGAATTTCTGTTTCTAGGATGAGCTTCTTCTTAGTCTTCTTGTTTTGTTTGAACTCACCATAGAAGTAGGAGATAAAGCCCCAGAGAGAGAGTACAAGGGACACACCTTTCTCTGCTTGGAAATTTTCTTGGTAGAAAATAACAGCAAGGACCTCAGTAACTGGTAGAAGAACCGCAATGACAATGCCTGATAGCAAAGATGAGGCACAGAAGATTACTCCTATTGCTCCCAAGAAGAAACCTTGCCAGATTATTGCACTCCACACGAGCACCACGTAGTACTTGGTCTCGCCTAGCTCAAATTTCTTTGCTTCTCTTGGAATAGCCTGCAAAAAAATAATAATAATAAAAAAATAAAATAAAAAGAAAAATAAAGAAACAAGCTCTTAAAGCATTTAATTATATCATATCATCATCGACCAAATCGAACATTAGCTTTGTTTTTTTATTTTTATTTTTTTAACCTTTTGTTGTCAAGTAATTGTGACGGTTTTTAAAAGATGATGAATTTATGAAAATCACATCAAAGTTAAAGAATATACGTGCACAACATTTACTTGAACCAAAAAGATAAAATAGCAGTAAAAGCACCTGTAACGGTCAAAATTCTGTCCAAATGTCTCCAAAAAGTGCGACACATTACAGTGGATTAGCTTAAAAGGAAAAGGTTGAAAGTTTCGTCAACTTTGGCTACAGTCTTATCACTTCTTTCGAGATTTTTGGCCAAACACATCTTTGGCCTCTACCTCCTCTCAAAAAAATAAGAAAAGATGTTTATTTCTTATATTCGTTTATAATTTTAAATCGTGATTTATAATTTTTTATAGTATTTTTTTTATAAAAAATCACGTAAAATGAGAATAATTTTAAATTTATAAATTAAACGTCTACTAATATATTTATAGAGACGATTTTCGGTAGCTGTTTTATCGGTATGATCAGTTTTTTGACTATTGAATCTAATTAAAATCAAATCAAATTAAAAAATATACAGAACAGACAATTTTTGATGTAAATCTGACTGTTAAAAAAATAAAATTATTAATAATTATATTTTTCCGATCTTACGAGACAAAGTCTCATATTTATAAGGTTTTCTTTTTTTCTTTCTAAGTATCTTGTTAAAAAAAACAAATTTCATTTTTTAAAGTTCAATTTTATAACTTAAAGTTTTGTAGCAGAAAAAAAAATGAAATTTGCTTATTACAAGAAAAAAATATTATACATATTTTTTATGAAACAAATATATATATATATATATATATGTATTCATCGAAACAAAAAACTATATTTATCTTCAATTAATTAACCGTAGGTTTTATCATTGTAATCCTACACATTAGGGAGAATGGGAGAAATATCGTATTTAGTAGGATGCAAATTATACCATATTTTTTAAAATAGTAGATTATAACATAATTTAATATTTTAATTATCTAATATTATTAAAAACTCAAAAATACTTTTAAATCTCGTTTTCCACCTTTCTTCTAATTCCCCTTAAAGCTCTATTTTTTTTTAAAAAAAAGTAAATTATAGCATATTTTTTAAAAATAGATAGATTATAGTATATTTTTATATAAAAGATAGATTATGGCTTGCACCGGCAATCGACGGCCGCCTCCGATGACCATTTTCTGTCAGCCAGCACTGGTGACCATTTTTCTGACAAATGTTTTCCGGCAACCGTTTAATACTATATTTACCGGTAAATATTGTATTTATCTAAAAGTCCGATCATCAACTCTGACAACTATTTAACACTGTATTTACCGATAAATATCGTATTTACTTATAAAAATCATATTTATCAGAAAATTCAGCCACCAACTCCAATGACTGTTTAACATTATATTTACCAGTAAATATCATATTTACTAATAAAAATCATATTTGTCTGAAAATCTGGCCACCGACTTGGCGACCGTTTAACACCTATTTAGCGGTAAATATCGTATTTACTAGTAAAAATCATATTTATCTAAAAATCTGACCATCGACTCTGGCGACCGTTCAACACTATAATTACAAGTAAATATTTTATTTACCAATAAATACCATATTTACTAGTAACTATCATATTTATTCAAAAATCAAACCACAGACTTTAATGACCGTTCAACACTGTATTTACTGATAAATATCACAAATTTAAAATTATAATTACTTAATATTTACTGATAAATACAAGATTTACTATGTTTAAAAATAAATTATTAAAATATTTACTAATAAATATAACATTTACTAAATTTAAACTTATAAATACTTTACTAAAATATTTAAAAGTAAATATTATATTTATCGATATTCAAAATTATAATTAGTAAAATATTTTTGTAAATATAGTATTTACAAAATTCTAAATACAAACACAAACAAATGCAAAACCAAATTTCACAAAAATTCCACAAATTCTCGAATCTCAATCACTATACAATCCCAAATCACAAACTCTGATTACGAATAAAAGAATAAAAAGCCATCGACAGGCAAACACAATCACAATCACAAACACAGATCACAAACTCATATTTGAACCAATCTGCAAAAATCCTTCGACCTTAAAGCTGCCGTCCATGACATCGCCGGAGCTCTGATTTGACCAGATCCGGTACCCACTTCGAAATCCAATGCCACCATAGACCTCTGACCAGACCATATCGTGACAAAAATCAAGGACCTCCGATCTCAAACTCGATCTTTGTGACACAAAGCACACTATCTGAATTAGATCGTCGCAATCAAAGTCTGACGAGATCGGTTGAACCAGATTAGCGACAGCCAGATCTCTGCAATTCATTGAACCAGATCAGCTCATTGAACCAGATCTGCTCAATAACGATTGAAAATCGCAATCTCCAATTTGAAAACCATAGCACATAGAGTCGCAAAGTAAAGAGGGTCGCGAAGGAGAGGGACTCGCGGATGAGAGAGGGTCTCGGAGGAGAGAGATAGTCGCGGAGGGGAGAGAGAGTTGCGATGGAGAGAGTCGCGGAGGAGACAGGCAGTTTAGTTCGCTGATTCGAATTTTTAATTCGAATTAAGATGTAATTTTATATGAGAATTTTTTATTGTAATAAAAAAGTTAAATGTGATTGTTTGTTAAAATTTTTTACTGTAGTAAAACTCGAATCAGCGAAATGAACGGACCGGTCTCGTTTATTTTATCGATTTAAATTTTTAATTTTAAATTTTTACAGTAAAAAATTTTTAAAAAATATCACATTTAATTTTTTCTGTTACAATAAAAAACTTTAAAAAAATATTATATCTTAACTCAAATTAAAAACTTAAATTTATAAAGTGAACGAGGCCTAAAAGAAAATCACCCAAAAAGGGAAAGAGAGAGAGGCCGTGAGAGTAAAGAGAGAGAAAATTGAAAGAGAAAAAAAGGAAAAAAATCTTAAAAGTAAATTTAAAAAATAAATTTTCTAAAATCAATAAAATACTATAATTTTAATTTACCAAGCTTGATATATTATACTATTTATTTTAAAAGTACCTATAAAATATGTTATATCCTGTATTTTCTCTTACTAGAATAAAGTATCATGATGAGATCCACTTGCTATTTGGCATTTGCCAAAGAACAAAGGAGTCGGAATCGTGTAGAAATATGTGTTGACACAAATGCGGACGAGGAAACAGCTGTTTCACAACTAGTCGAGACCTGAGTATGACCGAGATTTTTTTTAAGGACTTACTCGTTTTGTAAATTTAAAATTTTAATTTAAATTAAAATGTGATATTTTTTAAAAATTTATAATTATAATAAAAAAATTAAATATAATGAGGAAACAGCTGTTTCACAACTAGTCGAGACCTGAGTATGACCGAGATTTTTTTTAAGGACTTACTCGTTTTGTAAATTTAAAATTTTAATTTAAATTAAAATGTGATATTTTTTAAAAATTTATAATTATAATAAAAAAATTAAATATAATATTTTTTAAAAATTTTTAATCGTAAGAACTCAAATTAATAAAACGAATTAGGCTTATATTTACACAACACAGGTCCTTGCTGCAAAATTTTATCCATTAACCAACTTGAGCGTTTCCCATTACTTGTTTCTCTTCCCGGGTTCAGTCGTCCCCTAGGGTTTTAGTTTTTTACCATCTTTCAGCTTCCAATTCCGCAGAACAATCGAATTCCTTCGTCTCTAAGTTATCATCATCACCATGAAAACTCGTACAGCGGACACGCCCATATCGGCGGCGACGCCAAAGAAGACGCCGCCGGCGAGGAAACCGTCCGCCAGAGCCAAGCAGCTGAAGAAGAACCAAAATACTCCGCCGATGACGGAAAAACCAGAACAAAGATCCGGTTAGTTAGTCCCGAACGGTTTATTATTATTTTTTTTTCTTAATCGCTGAATTCAATTTTCGTTCATAGGGTTTTGAATCGATCAATTAGGTTCGGAATCAATTTTGTGACGACTTTTGATAATCGGACAATATAGATTATGGTTCTCAGGGTTTGAATTGATCAATTCGGTTTGGAATCAATTTTTTGAATTTTTATGGTTCGGCATTATAGAGATTAGTGTTTTGGTTTTCCAATGTTGTGTTTGTGCTTGATGAGTAGGTGAAGAAGGTGAAGCAACGCCTGGTTCTGTTGAGGTGACACCGACGACGGCGAGAGCCGGTAGAGTCACGAAGTCATTTGCGAGAAGAACGCCAGCGAAGATGAGGACGCGTAGCTCAGAAAAAGGCGGTGTCTCGCGGATGCCTGAACCGGAGGAGTCTTTAGTTCTGGGGAAAACTGAAGAATCAAAGGAGGAAGTGGGGGTGTCAGAGGTTGTGGAAGGAGTTGAAGAACACTGTCAACATAGTGACGAAAATACCCGAGAATCTGCAGTGGAGGAAGGTCAGGATGTAGAGGTTGAAGAACCCATTGTTGAAAATGTTGGAGAATCTTCTATGAAGGAACCGGAAATTAGTTCTCGTGGACATGTTGGAGATACTGCAGAACAAGGAAAACCTTGCGTTGTGGAGTCTAGTGTGATATTGAAAAATGAAGCGTCTGATGGTGGAACTGGAAAGGATGAACAGAAAGCGGAGAAAGTAGAAGAGGAGTTGACGGATGGTGGAGATAAGGAGCAGCTCGATGTTGGGTCTTCAAAAATGGAAGAAGACGTGAAAGAGGGATTGCAAGGAGAAGTTTCTGAGTCTGTAAAGGAGTTTGATGGTGATGAGGGAGTGGAATACGGGGAAAAGTTGGATCTTGGAGAAAATGAAGATGAAGAGCTTCGAGAGAATGATACAGATGAGCCTGCTGAGGAAACTAAGGCACTGGAAGAGGAACAGAGGGAATTGACGGC